CCCCCCCAATAGGTTGAACAAGAGAATTGAAAAAAGAAGCACAGGTAAAGATACCATCAGAAGTGGTAGACCATACCACTTAAAAGTCTCATTTTGATAACAATCTACTGGTTGCTTCATGTGATAGATTCCTGTCTGAATTGCTACCCTTTTCTCATATTGTCCTTCTTAGGTAACATCAGAGCTCACAGATAGAAGACAAGGTTGATGGGTAGCATTGCTTTAAAAACCAACAAAGTATGCTCTGAATCTAGGGGAAAATCTGGGAACAGTTGCTGGTTTTCTTCTAGTAGCAGAGAACTACTAGAAAGAACAAAGAGAAAGAAGCAATCATGTGTTTCTCCAATACTGATTTCAAGACAAGAAAAGTAACTATAGAGAAGAAAACAAAATAACTCGTTCAATTTTCGTTCGATTCTTCTGCTGTTTTAGACAGATTTACATGTATATATAGACTCATCAAAGCTTAAAAATTTGGCAATTATTAATATTTTTTGATCAATTACAGAAACATAATTCATTAATTATCAAAGAAATAAATACAGTTAAGAGAAAGGTAGAGATAAACTCTCTTAGCTCTCCCTAAAAAGATATAGTATTACAGCCATGTCCAAAACAGTTGATCCTTCCCGCCCCATGTTTAGCCAAAGAATCAACAAAAGAATTATCATCTCTTTTAACCCATTTTAGAGTAACATCCATGCCTTGCATCAGCCACTTTTGCAATAGGAAGAATCAAGTGGGTTGGTGGGGTTTCTATTTTCTGGTTTCTACATTAGAAGTTTATACTTTCTAAGGTTCTACTTTTAGAAAGTGGGTTGGTGGGGTGTCATCTATGAGAAGAGAACCTTAGAAAATAGAAACCTCAATGTAGAAACCAGAAAATAGAAATTCCTAAAATAGAAAGCTAAAAAATAGAAACTCTTCAAAATAATAGTTGCCTAATAGTTTCTTAAATGACAGAAAGCTGCTAAAATATGTAACTATAAACAGAAACTTTCTGGCAGGCATAAAAAGAAACAATTACAACAAAAACTATCTTCTTCCAAGATATCTTTTTTTCCCTTTCCGATAGGTAATCTGCTTCCAAATCTTGGTCCTGCTTTGGTGCAGTTATTGATTCTTTTTCCTCCTTTCATATGTTTTGGTAACTTAGGGATGCTCAAATCTTTCCAAAAATTGTTTCCATGGATCCTAGGAAAATTCCCTAGGTTCCATTAGCTAGTAGCAATATTATTAATTGTTTATAATCTTCATACAAAATGATAATCTTCACTTAAACATAGAAAATCAACATATTCATTAAAAAATGGAAGGAAAGAAATTTCAGAAAACAGAGGAGTTGAGCCCCTATTTTGTCTTGGGAAAGGAAGTGTCGCAGTTGTTTGGACAAATCACTTAACATGTTAGCCTGCCTTGATATTTCTAAATTTCCATAGTAAAGTAGTAGACTCTTGAGGGAATTTCTATTTTTTTCATGTTTTAGTGGGTTGTGTGCATTTGGGGTTACATAGCGGGTATAAATTTGGATCTAAGATCCAAGAACTCAGATCTCAGATCTGCATCTGTTGCCGCTGCCTCGTCGTCGTCGCCGCCGCTATCGTCGCCGGTGAGCTTCGAATCCTCCTCTTCCTTCTTCTTCCCTCCTCTCCTTCCTTCTTCTTTCTTTTTTTTATTCTTTCTCAGCCAACATCTCTTCTTTCTTATATGAGGTTTGCATATTAGGGCAAATCTCATATAAACATTTGCCCTAATATGCAATCCGTCTGAACCGTTCGACCCAGATGATTGAACCACTGACCTGGAAACCAGTAGCTAGAATGGTTCCATTTCTGGGTCGGTTTTTAAAACTTTGGGTATATCTTGAATCAGTTTCTGTTGTCAATTTCATGTCACTAAAACGAGACCCGTGCATAGGTGGTCATTGTGGAGCTTAGCTACTGAACTTCACACAGATTTTTTCCATGTACTAGGTAATGAATTGCCCTTACTCCTTAAGTATAACTCGAGAAAGAAGAGTAGAATTGAGTAGTGACCGAGTCACCTATAGTTCGATGTGGCCACATGGCAGAGCAGAACCTGTAAAATTTGGTACCAATCATAGATTGGAACATAATCCAACATTGTCGACGTGGCAGATCATAATAACTTATACCAAGGCTTGTTCTCTGAGAAGGCCACCGATAAGCTTTGGTGCAAATCAGAGGTTGGTACAACAACCAACATTTGATAAGTATGATTTTACCAAGGTTTAATTAATTGACTGTCTAATATGATTGATATTCTGGAAATTGAAAGGATATACTGGGGACTCGGTTTTCCAGGTCACTGATTCTAATTGCAAAATAGTGCTATCTCTTGGGCCACATTGGACCATAGATGATGACGCTAATTTTCTGGTAGTATTTCACCTCTCTCTCTCTCTATTTATTCTCCAGTAGTATTTTCAGTAGTACAACATGAAATAGCACTCCTAGGGTGAGTAGTGTTTCTTTTGGAGTAGCCAAGATACATGGGTTTGCATATATCTAAGAAAGATGAACTGCTTCATTGATAGTAACCTACTCATCATTGTAATGTGGCATTTTTTGGAACCCTCATCATGTTGTACTTAATATTGCCTCATACCAAACACACTGCATAGTAGAATAGTATGTAGGCGTGGAACACAACTTTTGCATTGGAGACCATTTACCATTTGCTAGGAGGTGCCACATTTCATGTGGAGTGTTTGATCATTCGTTTCTGTCATTTGGTTATGTTCCTAGACCAATAATCAATTTGAGTTCTATTTTGCTACTGCTGTTGAAATATTGTGTTAGAATCATGCGTAATTCATACATTTTGCTCTACTTGAATTGAATTTGGCATTATTGTGTGGTGACAGAAGCGTCCAACCATCATCTCCTGTATCCATTAAAGACCAAGAGGAGAAGGCTCGGAGATGCGAGTTTGTACAGGGGCTGCTGTTGTCCACAATTCTTGTTGACAAATTGTGAAGAGAGAGCATTGAATATAATGTCCTTTTACAGATGGAAGTATGTAGCTAGTCCAAAATAGTCTAATGTGATCCCCTGTTTCATCTTATTGTGCATAATGGAAAGATGATGAATTTTATGCTTATTGTCATCCATCGATTCCATCCATCCCATAAACGTCATAGGTAGATGGTTACTTTGCTTCATGAGATCTATGCTCTCCTGTCGCTGGGAGACCTTTTTCTCCATGTTAGGGTAGCTTGGGTTGGGGAGGAGGGAGCAACAGTTGCTGCAAAACACCCAAACCCATCCCCAAAGGACCCAACACAAAAATTATTTCTAGCTTGATCTTGGCAGTTGGCACGATAGGTTAATCGGTAGCAACTCCTTTGAGTCGGGCTAAAAAAGCTTGGATATTTATCTATAAGCAGCTGCCCCACCCGTTGGGGAGATGATAAAGGAAACTTCTGGTTGCAGCATTTCCTCCCATCAACTGGTTGGATTCTACACGATTTCTATAAGCGAAAACATGAGTTGTCAGCCCCGTGCCAATAAATTAAAACTCAAAAGTGAAGTCTTGCTTATGATTATTAGAATTTGAAAGAAATAACCACTTTTGGTAAATAAAAACATAATGTCAGCTGAAATTAAGCATTCATCGGTAGGGGTGTTCACGTGTCGGTTAATTGAACCGTGGTTTTTTTTTAATCGAAACAACCTGATTGGTTTTTTAAAAATCTGAACCGATGCAACAGGTTAATTGCGGTTCAGTTTTTTAGTTTTTTATACACTTAAAATTAAAAAAAAAAAAGGAAAAAAACATCTCTCTTGCATCCCTACTTCAATTTAATAACAAACTTGTATACCTGTATCAATTTACAAATTAAAATAAATAAACAACGAAAAATATACTACTGTTTAGGCAAAAAACAAATATAAGCATTCATTCATTCATTAATTCTAACAGTCTCAAACAATGAAAAATACATTTATTCATTATAAAAATGCAAAAAAATAAAAGAAATACCTAAAAGAAAGAAGAAACACAGCAGAGGGGTGAGGGTGAAGTGGTGGCTGGTTTGCCGGTGCTAGATTGGTTGGTGATTGCTGTCGCTTGAAGTGAGAGATTGAGAGGTAGCAGAGAGAGAGAGGGAGAGAGAGAGAGAGAGAGAGAGTAAGGGAAAGGGAGAGCGGCGAGACGACGACCAGCATTGCTGCTTACCCGCTTGATGGTTGCTTGGTTGTAGGGGTGGATTCAAGCTCGCCAAGGCAGTATAAGACTCGAGCTTGAGCTCAAGCTCAAGCTCAGTTCGAGTTAGAACCTTGAGCTCAAATTTGGCTTGAGTCAAAAGCTTGTAAGATCGAGCTAAGCTCGGCTCAAGCTTAACTTGAGAAAAATTTTTATAAAAATAAAAAAATTATATATAAAAATATTTTTTATTTTATATTTAAAAATTAAGTATTACAATAATTAGTTATTATTATATGTTGTTGTTGTTGTTATTGTTATATAGCTATTCGAGCTTGGCTCACAAGCCGAGCTTTATTAGGCTTGAGCTCGGCTCGAAGCTCAGTTGAAACCGAGCCAAGCTTGAATAGCTCGTGAAGAGCTCGACTCATAACCACCCCTACTTGGCGCGACGGAGATGATAGGTGAGCCATGAGTAAGAAACAAAGACATAAGGATTCAGGGAAGTCTTGCAATCATAAGGGAAAAACTAGCCACTAGGGGAGAGGCCATTAGTCGGAGGACGACCAGCACCAAAGGAAAGCAAGGGGAACTGGCAACTGGGGATTGGGGAAGACGAAGAGAGAGTGAGAAAGGGTATTAGCCTATAAGGTTTACTGGTTTAGGTTTTTAACAAGGGGAAAGGCCCAAAGGGGATTTCTCTCTCTCTCTATTCAGCCGCTTCAGCAGTAGTAACAGCATGGGCTAAATTTCGGGCTTGGGCCCAAGTTGTAGGCCCGATTGTCGGGCCGGGCTCGAGCTTGGGCCTTAGAAAAATCTGTTAATACAGAGTGAAAGCCCGGCCCGGCCTATGAACAGGTTTACTCCTATCCTATCAGACGAAACGCCAAATTAAAAACAGAGTCGGTGATGAAATAGTTAAGTTTTCATTCCTTCAAATAACGGTATATATTCAATAGAAGTCATCTTTCAGAATTGAAAAGAGAGAATTACCAAGTTCATCAAAAAAGAAAAAGAGAGAATTACTATGGATTCTTTTTTCCCTAGTCAACAAATTCTTCATTCATAATTCATAAGAGCATGGGGATAGATGATCCCTATATTTCATTTTGTATGTCATTCATCAGACATCAGCAAGAGTTTTGCTTAGTCACGCGGCCATACCATTTTTATTTCTATGCTTGTATTGGAACGTTTTTAAGTCCAGCATATGCTATCATCAATAAGTAAATAAATAAATAAAACCTAACATGACTGCTGTATAGTGTATGCAGATAATGAAACCTTCTACCTAAGGTCCTATTGTCCTAAGCATCTCTCCTTCAAAACCACCGCTGTCCACGAGGAGGACCCATCAACCAGGGATTTCAACTATTCGGATTTCTTAAAATTCATAACAAAATCATTTTAAGGCCGTATTTGGTTTGACAGAAAATAAAACCTTCCCTCAACTTTGTTTTTCTATCTTAATTTTTCTATCAAACCAAAAATCAGAAGACTTAATCCGTACGGAGCAAATCCAAATTATTCACCACACGGAGAATAAGTTCATTCGTTTAATCCACAGTAGCCCTATTCCCCACCTTGTATTGGTGGCATTGCAAATTAATATTCGTGATTCAAAGTACTTAACCCATGCAAAGGTTTACATTAAATATACGGGAGAATCTGGTCACCAACATTGACTATTTAGGGGCTCCAAACTCATTAGCCACTTGGAGTATTGGAGGGTAGGCAGCCAGTTTAATCTTTAACCCATCCATCCATATGAAATAATCGAACATTGTTTCACAAAGTTACAGTCATAGTTTCGCTAACATTTTTGATATCACTAACACCTTCAGAACCCACACAAGAAAAAAACAAGGTCATTACTCATTAGGTCCCAAATCTACCAGTTATTGTTCTCGCAACCCTACCAGAAAAGTAAGCAATCACATTGCGGTCTGCCTTAAACATCCTGTGCACTCACTCACCTTAAAAAAACCGGGTCACGTTGCATCAACAGAATCCCTTTTTCATTCGAAGTCTGACTTTGGCAATGATGACTTGTAAAACCAAAGGATGACATTGCTGAAGCAACAGGGCACAAGATTCATAACCGTCTGTAGGAGAATTGCGTGGCAGGTATTCTGGCTTTTGCCAAGCTTCATTCCAAAACTCACAACTTTGCCATTTCTCTTAATAGAGGCACTACAGTGAAAACCCTTCCCTCATCTCCGGTAAGTATTATGAGATACAAAGAATCGGTAATCAGGGTGATCAACTTGTAAGAGCCGGAGCCAGTTGTCAGCTGCTTGTAACAATGAGCTTGCTTGCTGGCGTTCATAGACTCCATTTGGGGTCCAAACTGAAGCCTTAAATTTGTAAGATGCAAGCCCAAATGTCGGAAGTGATAGTTTCTCATTCCCACGAATTTCTCTGTTGATTTTTCTAACAAAGCTCTGTTGAAATTGACCATCTGTACCTGTCACAAAACCATGGCATCTACATAAATTCAGAACACATGTTGGGGGGAGGGAGAGGGAGGCGACACGTACACACACACAACATAACACACGAGAGAGAGAGAGAGAGAGGAATACTCTTAAATGGAGTAGACAGAGAGTGGAATGTTAAAAAGCATGCATCCAGATCTCGGAGTGTTGGACCTGTCGGTATCCTATATATTGGATACCTGAACCAAAGTTCCAATTTATGAATGTTAAGTCACAGTAACTTCAAATGTAAAGAAATTAATTGTAAAACAATATTGCAAAGTATTTATTATAATTAAAAAAATGGAAGAAACATATACCACGCCACAGAAATCCAACTTGCTGGAAGTAGATCACAACTCCTATATGTCCGAAGTTCTGGAAATTGAGAGGCAAGAACTGAAATCTGTAAAAGACAACGAGATACAAGGTGTCATTAGGACAGCAAATATCATGCCTAGTTCTGCAAGTCAAACTGAGATGACATGGCAGCATCAGCAATCAAACATACAAATACACTAAATATAATTTTCTGGGCTTCTAAAAGCAAGTATTAATGCAACTGAGAATCCCATCCCATGATGAAAGCCTTCTGATGGGAAACAGCTCTTAAAATAATCATTACACCAATGTAGGCAAAACATTTGAAATTTGTTACCACGTGTCAGTAGGCAAAAAACAGCTCTACCCCAAAGGGTTACTGGCTTACTGCTGTGTTTGGTTGCAGTACAATTTTATTTGCACTAGTACAAATGCATGGGAGTGCAAATGAAGAAAATGCAAATTCCCGTTTAATTTTGTTTTCAATTTTACTTTATTCTACTTCATGTCTTAATTTACTTCATTTTACTGCAATCAAACAAAACAAGCTAAAATTTGAAACAAAAATAGGTCAGAATTTACACTCAAACCATTTGCACTGCCATAGTTTTGCATCAGTGCAAATTTATTTGCACTGCAACCAAACACAGCCTGATGTGCATTTCCAAGGCTGCTTTTGGTAAGAGTGCAAATGCAGAACTGAAGCAAATTTGCACTTTTGTTTCAGTTTTGCAGGCATTTGGTAAGTACGTTTTTTAAATGAAAATGAAAGCAAATTAGTTTTTTCAGTTGTTTTGCACTTGACTCAAAGTACAAGGCACTGTAAAGTTATGAGTACAAAATCAAACCGGGTTTGTATCCTTCTATTTTAACAAATGTGACATCTGCGCATTCACTTTTTGCACTCTGAACCAAACATAGCCCAAAATTCAAAATGTGTTACCATGCAGGCAAAAAGATCTCTCCAGTTACAAAAAGGGGAAGATTATCTTTTAAAACGCACGCCAGACAGTAATAACCATTTGGAGTGTTTAGGAAGAAAGAAACAAGAGTGCCCTCAAAACCATACTATCGGTTATAGGTTGGATCCTAGAGCAATAGATATTATAAGTCCCAATAGACTTATCATTAGAGGATGGCAAAGGATAGCAGATCTTGCCCAACAAAGGCAACCTCGAGGGCAATACTGGGAACAACTATTGACAGGCAGAATCAAACTGAATTTTTGTTGATGCTCTATTAGTAACCAGGGATTTTAGAGGTCACTCGGGAGAAAATATTCTTAGTTTCCTGGGGATTTACCAACAAGGGAACTTTTAAGACACTTTAAGAGCAAAGAATTCTCTCACTGTAATAATGGCTCAAGATTGGCTTCTCCCTTGGGTCCTAAACCTTATGGTGGAAGGCAACTCAACGTGATCAATAGTTGTTGGATTCTCTTATTTTCAGATGGCCTATGAACCCTCCAACACAATATAAAACGAGCAAGGTCAACTGCACCTAGAATGGACAACTCGTTCAGAAGGATTCTTGGATGGGGAAAGTCATCAACTCATGCCCTAACAAGAGAAGAAAAAGAGCTGTATTCAGTGTATTGGGGGGCTTTAAACCTGGTCAGCAGTAAATGAACAGTTCATGTAATAGAAAATGGACCAGCAAGAGAAGGGGGAGAGGAAGGGATGAAGTGTATTCAGAAGTTTTAAACTCAGCAGTGTTTTTCTGGATTCATGATATGCTTGCCAGAGTCTTTCTTAACCATCCACCTTCAGATAGGACGAAATGAATGTATCTCTTTTATCTATTACGTTCTTAAGCAACAAATCTGTTTATCCATTTTATTCACAGAGCAGTATAAGCTCACCTTATCTGCCAGAGGTTCTCGGCTGTATGGGGGATCCTGCTCCAAATATTCAAATATTAACAGCCCTGGTGGATTGCCAACTTCACCTTCATCACTTGATGAACCAGCAAGAGGTTCATCTCTCAAAAATATCCTGTTCATTCTTTTTGTGTTCAAGTCCATCAAGTTATGGTGACCCCACAAACCCTCTGAGATGTGCTTGCCTCTCCGTTCTAGCTCACAATCACTGCTTCCCTCACTACTTCCTCTAGAGGACTCAGCATCACTCTCATCACCAGGCCACCTGTCACAAGAATGGAACCAAGAGCAATGGTCACATGCATCCCCATATGATATGATGCATTGAATTTGACATGTGATATTAATGCGACAGTTTTCAAGAGAGGGTGGGAACTCTGCAATGAAATGAATTGCATTTTTTATCCATGGGAAGAATCACAAGGTCAGAATGAGACCAACTTTCAAGAAAGAAAAATACTGTTGTTTCAAACCATACAGCTCAAAGAGCTAAAACAGTGTTCCTCACCATCTATGTCTATACCATTGAGAGTGCACGCACACACACACACACAGAGCTGTGGGCCCCGTCAACTTACAGGTTCCCCAGTTGGGTCTCTAGGGCTGGGGTTGGATTGGTCCCAAAACAATATAACCTAGCCCAAGATGTAGCACTAAAAGTGCCACTCATGTTTCTGTTGTCATACAAGCTCCACCATTTAGGTTAGCACAACAAATATTTTCAAATACTACAAAAGTTACTTTCAAATGCTCCATAATAAAACTGCTATACACAAGATGGTTCAAACAGTGTACTGTAGAACATAACAACTGCTCCTGAATTATTAACCAATCATTCGTCTACCATGTTTTGAAGATTCAAAATAAAAGTTACTCATCTTACTCATCTTATGTACAACACGAACACACTTAAACCGATGTTTTCACCAACCATTTTCTATGTTTTGAAACAACATACTACCATATTTTGAAGATTTAAAATAAAAGTTACTCATCTTATGTACAACACGAACACACTTAACCCTATGATTTGAAACAACATACTGGCATATTGATATCCTATACAGGTAGCAAGAACGTTGCGCTTGCTCATGTCTGATCAGAATGGACCAGTACTAAGTTTTCTTTTTGTTTCTCTTTTAAAAATAAGAACAATAAGAAAGTTAAAATGCAACAATTAAGATTTCAAGTCTTAATGAGATTGAACTAGAGTAACACTATCATAAAGGATTTCTGTTTCGAATTTGGTGCCTTCTGGGGACAGTGAAAGCACTCTTGGAAGAGTGGTAGATCTCAGGAATGAGAATGGGAAAGTACGCTGGTCAACTATCCCTATGGCGATCCTGTGGGCTATATATGTGGTATGAGAGAAGTAATAGAATTTTTGAGAAGAAATCTATCTAGATCTGACGCAGGGGTGGTCAATCTAATTTGTACAGAGGACTTGTACTTTTTCATTTAATACAATATACTTTACCTTCTTCCAAAAATATCATAAAGGTTTTTCTAGCAACATTGGAATGAACACCTTAGATGCCTTCAATCATAAAATCTAAAATGTGAGAATCATTAATCCCATGTATATGCAGAAAAACCCATGTTAACTTTGCCAATTAAAGTACTCCATGACTATAGAGCCTGTGATAGCATTGCTCTATGGTTAAACAACTGTCAGTAGTTCTCAAGTTTTTTTTTTTTAAAAAGAACCTTTTCCACTTCTTAATACAAGTTAAAAAAATCTTGATTACATTAACAGTGTCCTACACTTTTAGTATAAACTATAGATAGCCTTCAATCATAAAAACTAAAATGTGAGAATCATTAACCCCATGTATATGCAGAAAAAAAACCATTTTTATATTTTGTAACTTTGCCATTTAAAGTACACGATGACTATAGAGACTTGATAGCATTGCTCAATATGGTTAATCAAAGTAGTTCTCCTTAATTAAAAAAAAAAAAAAGAGCCTTTTGCACTTCTTGATACATGATAAAAATCTTGACTACATTAACACTGTCCCACTTTTAGATCACCATGAACATATATAAAATGCATCAGACAATATCAATTAAGCTTAGATGTTGAAAACTGGACATAGTACCAACTCAAATGGGAGAATGCCCTTGAGAAAGAACTTAAGAAAAAGATATGGGTAAAATACAAAAACCTCCCCTAAAGTTTTTGACAATCATAAAAACCTCCCCCCATAGTTTCATTTTAACAAATACCTCCCCTGAACTTTTGAGAAATTCAACAAAAACCTCCCTTCGGTCACTTTTCCAGACGGAAAACGTTAAACTGATGCACCAGTTTTTTACAAATACCAATTCTACCCTTTTATAAATTATTTTACATGCAAAATTACTGAAATAACCCTATTTTAATTTAACAAAAACCTCCTTTAATGATCATCTTCTAACATTTTTATCAAGTTAAAACAGGGTTATTTTAATAATTTTTCATGTAAAATAATTTATAAAAGGGTAGAATGGGTATATGGAAAAAACTGGTGCATCAGTCTAACGTTTTCCATCTGGAAAGGTGACGGAAGGGAGGTTTTTGTTGAGTTTTTCAAAAGTTCAGGGGAGGTATTTGTTAAAATGAAACTATAGGGGAGGTCTTTATGATTGTCAGAAACTTCAGGGAATGTTTTTGTATTTTACCCAAAAGATACATTTTTGATAGATACTTAAGAAACAGAATTTGTTCAACTTGAAATGTCATATTCATCCAAATCAAACCCAACAAAACCAAACAGCTAAAACCCTACCATTACATACGAAGGAAAAATTTCTACCAGATGCAGAAAGAAGGATCCCTGACATCCAATAAGAGGTCTGGCAACTCTAGAAGGAATAGGTTGGCAGATATGATAACGAAAGGTTGCTGGTTAATAGCAATTGCTAGACATTCTGAGTTACCTTGCTGAACAAACAAGTCATTTGCAGTTTGCTGGTGACGCAGCCCTTTATGCCTGCCCAGAGTCCCTTATCCACCTCAAAGAAATAATAAAAAGGGCATACCAGTGCACGAGGCTCCCACCAGTGCAGGGTGTGGGGAGGGACAGATGCACACAGCCTTACCCCTGCACATACAGAGAGGCTGTTTCCAAGATTTGAACCCTGGTCACCCAGGTGGAAATGGAGCAACCAACAGTTGTGCCGACTGCCAAGGCCCACCCTCACCTCAAGGAAATAATCCCATGTTATAAAGCAAATCAAGGTCCTTGTATGAACTGCACTAAAAGCAGCTTATTGGGCATTTGCCTCTTTATTAAGGATGTTTTGAATTCAGGAGGATATTCCATGGGAGAAAAGAATGGCCTACTAACCTACATAAATAGCTCTCTTCCAGATTCCAGCTAGCATTTAACTATAAAGGAACTTCCTTTACGATGATGGAAGGAAAAGTGGAACCAGTTGGTGCATGGGAAAGTAGTGTACAAACCCAAGATGGATTGAAAGAAGTTGGGATTTGCTTCGAATGCATCTCTAAAAGACTCAGCACTTCTAAAGAAATGGTGGGACAGCAAGCAATTTATAGGCCGTTATTATGGGCAGAAAATACAAGATGAATGTGGGACAGCAACCTTCTTTTGGACAGATTATCTTCATCCAACCCATGGAAGGGTATTATAAAAACCTTGAATTCCTTCGTCCCACTGTTCTGGACAGTCTGGTATGACTTAGTAATAGAAACCATGTCAAATATTGGTCTGATCTCTGGTGAGGCAATCATCATCAAGAGATTGTATTCCCCATAAATCCTAGTTCTGCCTTGACAAAGGGACTGTAATGACCTCTATTCTAACAAGTAGAGATCATGGTCTGTCCTGGAACTCTATCTGGTGGCCTGAACTGGAAGAAATCACTTTCCAGTTCCCTCTTGGAGAATGGAGATCCTCAAGGATGAGTATTTTCGTTCTGTAATGCCCCTATTTAGTTGGTCTGGATTTCCTACTGACTCGATTCTACCACCCTCTTCACCAAACCCAGTTAAACATTGACACCTGTCCCTAAACGAGTTTAGAATCCTATGTGTGCATATGATTAGTGGATGCCATTATTGCCTTTCCATTAGACATCTTTTCCTAAAAAAATCCTTTTTTTGCATGAATCCTTTTCTAATTCCTCTCCCCTTCTCTCCTCTCTATTCGTTCACGGAAACCTACAGTGCTGCCGGAAATTGCTATATTCACCGGACAACAAATTTTTGGCACCTAAGGTCATAATCTTTCTCATTATAATCATCCATTTATATGTACGTTAGGACAATCCCATGTTAGATGCCCTCTCAAGTTCTCCAAAACCCCTAAAATATGAGTCAATCACTGATTCAAGATGTATGGAAACCAGTACAAGTTCTAATCCATGTTCAAATCTGCAGCAACTGTGTTTGCAGCTAGTTTTGAACTGGTTATAAAAGACAAGCATCTCTACTAAAAAACAATGAAGTTCAGTCGAGTTTTGTCTAATTTAATACATAAGACTTCCTAGTCATCCTCTCACTCTAATCCCCATTTCAATCTTCTTACATTATTTTCTTTTATTCTCTTACATTTACTTCTGTTTTCATCCTCTTTGCCATTGCAACTCAAATGGGGAGCACAAACCATTACTACTCTGTCTTCTGCAACTGAAACAGGGACAAACTAGCTCATTGCCAGTCATCCCCCTTCCTCCTCTTCTCCCCTCTTTTTTTTTTTGATAATAACAGAAAACTTTCATTAAAATATTGATAAAAAAAAACTTTCATTAAAATAAAATAACAATACAGACAGGCCGGTGATGAGATAACACCAAAGACCAATTACAGCATATTGCCAAGATTACATTTCTGAACCTCAATAACAATCCAGAAATTAGATCCTAAATCTGAGACATTCACTTGAGCAAATTCAGGTAAAATGAGCACCCACTCAGTGACAGCGCTTCCAATAGATACCACAATTTTTCCTAACTCCCACTGTTTATCTTCAAACTCCGCCCCCACCCCAGCTGCCTTAAAGTAAACAGACACTGATAACTCCCCCACCTTCTCCCCTAATTTGAACAGTGCACTAGGATCCCACATTATGATCAAACCCCTGAAAGACCAACTGCATTAAGTTCCAGCCATTCCCCACAACTTGATCCTCAAATTTCAGACTTCTCCCTTACACTGGACCTCTCCAGCTTTGTTTCTTGTAGACAAACCACGTCTGGCTTGAGTTTTCTAATGAACTCTCTCATCACCATCCTCCTCTGATCTTCCCTCAAACCCCAAACATTCCAAGACAGAATTCTCATCATCCTATATGTCATTCCTAAGCTTCTCTGTAAGTGCATGTAACAGAAGGCTCAATACAAATCCCATACCTCCTTTGAATTGCAGTCTACCTCTGTATATGGAGGCTATTGGACGGCTAATTCCAAGCCTAGAATCCAAACCGTAACATCTCTATTATGAGATTCGTTCTGGTCACTATGACCTGAACTTCCCTTAATTGATCTTTGGCGGTGACCTGTATTTGCATTAATTCTAGGGACACCATTGTCATTCCACTGAGCTCACAGTTAGGTCAAGGACACCCATCTTCACTTTGGTTTTAGCCTTGTGGCCATATGAAGACAGAAGGTAACATCAAGCAGAGTCATGCACATTTTTTTAGGAAAAAATGTCTATTGGAGGGCCAATAACACCTTCCGTGTTATCTACGCAAGTTAAGACTCCAAAGACATTAAGGGACAGGTGGCATTGTTTAACTGGGTTAGTAGAGAGGATGTAAAATGAAGTTAGTAGGAAAACCGGACTGCTATTTGGTCCCTTTCCTCCTTGACTTGATCTGTTGCAGAGAGAGGACTGTGCTGAATCAGAAGATCAAAATATCATCTGACAAAGCTATTTTTGGAATAGGATGGAAGGATTTTGATTCTCAACAGAACAGATAGAATAGGTTGCAAGTTGTGGGCATCCCAAATCCACCTACTGCTCTTCTGTCCACAAGCTGAAGATACTTCCCCATATATATCAAATGATATTAAAACCCAAGGAGATTTTCCAAGCCATGGTATTGTTCTCCCATTTTGACTCCATGTAAATGCCACATAAGCAATTTTGCTTTAACGTGTAAAAAACATATTTTGTTTGGCAGATTTAACTTGAAAACAAAGATAATACACTTTGCATGGGGAAGTTGGGAACCATCAAAAAGACGCTGCTTGTATGTGGAGGCATTCCCACTTCAGTTGTCCTATATGCCATCTAATGGCAAAATATTGTACAGTGTATTTTGTTCCAAAAAATCTCACTTTGTCTATTATCGATTTCTTGATTTAAGTTGAAATGTTCTAAATTAAAACAACATGGTGCCAAACATTGTGCAAATTATCTTAGTTATGATTCTAAAACCAATACTATTGCTTCCAGTTACCAACTCCTAGTTACAAGCTTTGACATCTTAATGATAAGACAAGGAGAAAAGTCCTACTAGGGTGAACACGGTGCATAAAGAAGGGGAAGAAATGAAAGGAAAAGAGAGGAAAAAGAAGAAATACAGCAAATTTTTCATTCCATGAATTCAACTTTAAAATTCCAATTACAATGACTCTATTTATAGACTAAACATAAGGGCTTGGGTTTCCCCTCCTAGATTCCAATTTAGACCAAAAAATAGTTCAACTCTAAAATTCCAATTACAAATCTACAATGCTCTATTAATAGACTAAACATAAGGACTCAGATCTCCCTTTATAGACTTCAACTTGGAGTAAAAAAACGATCTAAAACAACTTCCAGTTCACAACTAAGGCATGTCCATGTGCTATTCATAAGGTTTAAGACTCTAAAGTAACTCCACGAATCCTACTAAGTTTAACTTGTTATAAAGAAATCATAAGTTACTGAATATAGCAAATTGTAATTTTACTATAAATAGTGAGTACAGAAATTATTATAATAAGTCCAAAAGTTATTACAAATATCCAATTGTTAAGAAAAGTAAATTTCTAAGAATAAAACTCTTCCTACAACCATGGATTAAAGTATCAATGTACCCAAATGTATTGGGCCTATCGGTAGGGGTGTATCGATACTTTTTACCGCACGAATTTTATTTTTTTAGTTTTTTTCAAATTTTGATTACATATATGTTTTTATATTATCTAATAAATAAAAGAAGTGGTATCCTGAAAACACTTTAAAACAGGTGTAACAGAAAACTAATGATATGATACGATATGCCCGATACGGAGCATATCATATCGATACTTTGAACCTTGTCTACAACCACCTCCATGCTTTCTCTTCCATTGAAGCTCTTTCATTTCTTATAACCTAAGCTTCAACATTGTAGGTAATCAAATTTTATCAAGCATCAACATAGAAAAAAGAAAAGGAAACAAAAAGTTATGTCGCTTAACAACAACAGACTTTATTTGTGTTATTACTAACATCTTTTATTAGAATCTACTAATAATGAAAGAGAGAGAGGTAGAAAGAAAGGCAAATGGAATTAAAAGATCAAAATGGATACAAGAAAAAACAACAATAGCGAAGTGAAAGCTCAAAGGAAACTAAAAATTGAAAGCATAAAAGGTTGACACCATTGATTAAAAGAACACAAAGACTAAATCTAGCACAAAATAGAAGAACAATAATATAACTCAGCTCTCTATCCATGCTATTCCTAGCCAAATCATCATATAAAGAACTAGCCAACCTGGATCTTGTTAAAAAGTGGGTTGAAGTAGTGACAAATGATTTGAGGACACATGATTTAACAATATATGGTGCTGAACAGGGTGGAATGGCAGAACAGGATTCTGTAGCTGACCCCATATAGTTGAAACAGAAGAGTTAAGTTGAGCCAATACAATTAACCAACCTGAAATCCATGTAAGAGGGGGTGGGGTGGGGGCAGGGGTAATTTCTCTCATGGTAACTAAAGTTGAGCTCTTTACTCATGAGACAGACATAGACTCGTTGATGCAAAAGCTCCATTTAATATTTTTCCATACTTCACAGTGGAAAACGCCCTGCTTGTGATGGTAAGTCGTATATACATGGTTTTCTTGACAATTCCAAGTTCAAGACTTCAAACAGTTTTTTTTTTTTTTTGGAGGGGGGGTGCTCAATTGAAAAACACAGAAGTCAATCTGTTGCACACAATCACATGGAGAATAACTGTTTGGAAAAAAAATGCCAATATGATTACTGCATAGTACATATAATGCATTTTCCTTCAGTTAAACTTTGGATGGCATACACAACTTCAAATTATCAGGGCAAATACAAATTACAAACATGACATAGTGAGTACTATGTCAACACCCTGATTACAAGAATGGCATTGTTCTCCCGGATGACAACAATTCTTTGTTCGTATAAAGAAAAAAAGTTGTTCTTGCAATAAAAAATTAAAGATCCCACCAACACAACCTTATAAGCAGAAGAAAGCTCATTATTATCATCTTCCCTATAAGATGATGCAGTAATAATATTACTTAAAAATTATGTTAGGAATGTAAAATTGACTGAAGGTCATGTAGATAGGTTCAGTCGAAACTTAATAAATGGATGTTGGCCAAAACAATTAAGGAAATACATCTCTCTGCCCTGTTACCCCCACCCCACGGGAGGAAAAGTAAAGAAATAAAGCAATTAAATTACATAAAAGGTGGCAAACAAATGTGAAAAAACACAGATTTTAATTTATTAAAGTAATTCTTTTTTATCAGTTTATTACTTCTTAGGTGCATTAACCAAATGCCCCAATTCAAGCCTATTCAGAGATCCCATCTAAAGAAATAAATATTAAAGTTGCATTCACCTAACCCACTTAAATTACCAATAATGCAGCCCAATTAATCCTTGTACCCTCAATATTTGTCTAAAAGTTAGAAGTTCAGTTTAAATACAAAATCCAACACTGAATTTTCCTCTGAATAACCCAAGAATCAAATATTTGAGAAACGCTGAAAATAATCAAAGAAATAATATAACTAAAAAATGCCGAAGTTACCAATGCTACTGATAATAAAATGTATAGAACAAATTGTGGGATCGGGCATTATTGAGGAAATGACAGCTAAACATTAAATAGACACATGAAGAATCCAAAAAAGGGATTGAATAGAACATTACAACTCACAAAAGAAATAGCAGCGTGGAGAATTTCTAAGTAAAGAAAAGCTAACCAAGAAATAACAGTATGGGACTTCAAAAAATAGGATATCATAACCTAACTAAACAAGATAAAATCTGGCACTCTTACCTCGACCTCGAGGAGGGTTTGGATGGGTCTATGTACAACTGAATGCCCGACAAGTATGGCACGTAGTACTGCACAACAGAGTCACTCCCGTTCAACAGAAGAGGCACACCTGCACCGTACGCGCTCCACTCCTTGAAAGACTCCCATAGATCCCCCAGGCTGAAGTACGGGTGAAAATCGGTCTCGCAGGTTCTCCATCCCCTTATGCTAGTCTGTAAATTCCAAAAGTCACTAATTCAAACCCAAATTTTTTTAATGGGGTTAAAGAAGCAAAGAGTCGGGGACGTCGAAAGGAAACTCTTAGAAAATACCACGTCCGATGAAAAAAACCAATACCTTGGAGAAATACTGCGCCGGAACGACAGGAGTAGTTGACTCCAAGAAGCGATCCAAGTTGGTAGAACTTGTCTGTCTCGTCGGAGACGACGAACGAACTGAACGTTTCGACGATGTGGAGTCGTCAGACTCCATTTTGTTCTCAGCCTTGACTGGGGCCTTCGGCTTTGTCGGCCTCTGAAGCTGCTGTTGCAACAATTGCTGTTGATGTCTTCGCATTGGAGGCGGATTATAAAAGCGGTCTCCGTCGTGACTACGCGCGAAAGCAAACCCTCCCGAACCAGACATTATTGGGAATTACAGATGATTCACTAGGGCAGATGGATGATTTATCAGAGATAATGGCTCCGATTGAAAGCCTTTCAAGATCAAAGATTAATTACAGAAATTGTTCCATAATTATTCTCTAGGGTTTGGTAGCACCCGAGATCCGATAATGGCGAAAAAAAACGAATGAAGGAAACGACTGATTATCTTCTTCGTCTTTGTATTTTCTCTTCTCTTCCTTCTTCGAAAGGCCGGTGAGATTAGAATAAAAGAAACGAAGAGTCGAGAGAAGGATATGAGTGAGACCTTTGTAGTGATCAAAGGTGTGTGAACCGTGTGGGAGAGAAGTACAGCCATTTCCTCTCGAAATTTCAGAAATAAGTCTTACTTTTTTCAAAATTACGCATGTGTCCTAACAGTATATACCACATGATTCGTTCTATCTAAATACCCTTTTTATATTACCTTTCCTTTGCTAGCTCTCGTCTAACAATTTTGCCTCTAAAAATTTGATAATAATAAAATGAAAATATCATCTCAATTATTAAGAAATAAGTCATTTTATTTATAAAAATCCATTATTAAGAATGGCATTTTTGTTCTGTTAAAATGTTTGATGACTTTCCCCTTAAGTGGGAAAGCTATTTATTTTCTCCAATTAGAAGATAGGGGTAAGTGATACTTAAAAAAATAAATTTTCTTTGATACTCACATAAATCTGAATAAAAACATGGAATTCTTGGTCAAATCTCATTGACTAACTCCCCCCTCAAAATCCAAAAAACAAACACCCCCCCTAAATAAGAGTATTCAGTAAAATAAAAGGAATCTAGTTTTTTGTTATAGGTAAAGCAAGGTGTGGTGTTGTGTTAGAGATCATAGTGGGAGGGTGTAAGCTGCTTAGTTTGGCCATCTGGTGTCTAACTCAATGGGTGTGGAGTTGGTGAAGAGATTTCTTTTCTCTCAAGTTTTTTTGGAATCTGACTATTTTAGTCTGGTAAATGCGATCTCAAGTGGAAATCTGGAGTTGGCCAAGGATGCCTTTTTTTATCTGCATGTCAAGAGATTGTGGAGTTGTGTAAAAACTTACATATCAGCTTTTGTTTTGTAAAGAAGGTAGCTCATTTGTTAGCTAGAAAGGGTCTAACAGAGTCTGGCCTCCTTGTCAGGAACTGCCCAAAACGGCTTGAATCCTTAGCAAGGCAAGACTTGAACAAACCTATCTAGGTTGAACTGTTTGCTTGTTTGTTTTATTCTTGTTGTGTTATGTGTTGCTTTGTTATCCTTATAATATAAAAAGAAAAAAAGAATACAACGCCTATAGCTTTTAGAAGAATGGGTTGTTACAAGTTGAAGAGATTAGAAGAATAGGGGCTCAAACTTCAATGAAATAATAAGAAATTATTTAAGTGCCCACGGGTACTAAAAAAGAAAGGCTCAAGTGCTTATGATTTAACAATGGATATGGCACTGAAGGGATGATGAATCAAGATTAATGTAAATGACTCCATATAGTTGGGACAAGACTGGTGATGGTCATAATCTAGCCTATGACTGCAACTTGGTTTGGATTAGATTGAATGTAGGACCAGTTAGGGTTGAGACTTTACACCCCAATCCACACTCAACATGTCTATTCATATTCATGTAAAATGTGTATGTTTGTATGTATATAAACATACACATACAAGTTGAAAGGGGTTAGAAGAGTTAGGGAGCGATTAAGAAGGGCTTGCATGGAAATAAGAAGAAACAACTTAAGTACCCATAATTTAATGGTATGGCATTGAACATAACATAATGGTGAAATAAGATTCAATGGTTCATGAAACCATCCCCAACCGGTCCCATATAGTTGGAAGAAGGCTTTATGATGATGGCATCATCATCATCTAACCTAAGAGTGCAACTTGGGTTGGATCAAGATGAGCATTGGACTAAAAAGGGTAGTTCATTGCACGAGGCTCCCGCTAATGTAGGGTCTAGGGAAGGATGGATACACAGCCTTACCCCAGAAGGGAGGCTACACTCCAACCCAAACTCAACATGTTTATTCATGTCGCTAAGGAGTTTGCATCTCTGCCCCACAATGCCTCAGCACATCCTCGCCATGTATTGCAAACATCTCCCGATGATGGTATCAATCTCGATGATGTCATCATCAGGAGATGTTCCCAATACACGGCGGGGATATGCTAGCTGTGGGGCGAAGATGTAATCTGTCGCTAAGATATTTTAGTGTGACATTAGTATATAGCAAAGCATTGTGACTTTGCTTCCATGTACATTCCAATGTTAGAGCTGATCAACCCTAATTAACCGGATCTCAGTTGTATTAAATGAGGGTTTTTTTCGAAAGTAAATAAGCAAAAGGGGGGGGGGGGAGGATCGATAAGGGTTAGGATTTGGAGCTTCAACAAGGTTGACCTTGAATTGCACCCTAATTCTAGCCATAAGATATTTGTTGGTAGTGAATAGGATCAATGGATGGTATGAATAAAGCATAAAAGTCAAAGTCATAGGGTTCAAAGAATTCAGCAATTTAAGTTGTATACTCGTACATTTTAAGTAGCGTGACATGTTGATCTAACAAGCAATAAATGACAACCTAATACATGAAACAAAAAACATTCAATATATATGTAAAATGTTAGAATATAGTTATATTGTTTTAACTTTAAGGAAAAATTTCCCGTACTTTGGGCTTAGTGTTAGTGTGCCATTTTGGTCCCTGAACTTTAAAACACGATAATTCAGTATTCGAATTTTTAAAACGTGCCAATCTAGTACCTACTGTTAATTAATCATTAAGTGGCATTTGAAAAGATACAAATACCTTTTGAGTGTGTCAACTAATTTTCTTTATCAACCATCCAAGTATTGACAAAAATGAAGTCCCAAATCATTGCCTCTTCTATTCAAGAAAGTTGGAGTCACYATAATGCCCACTAAGACATGACTCCAACTTTCTTGAAAGAAGAGGCAAGGATTTGGGACTATTCATTTTTTGTCAATGTTTGGATGATTGATTAAAAAAAAATTAAATAACACTTGAAGGACATTTATGTTTTTCCAAATACCACTTAAATAACACTCAAAGGGCATTTGGTTATTGAATTGGTTAACAAAAGTTATTAGATTGGCATGCATGTTTTAAAAGTTTGGATACTAAATTATCATGTTTTAAAATTTGAAGACCAAAGTGACAATAGGCCCAAGATACATGATACCACTCCAGAATTTTCCCCTACTTTAACAATGGCTGTTAATATTTATTAGGCCAGTATTAATGTATAGTAAGTGATTGTTTAACTGTCCATTCCCAATACCCAAACTTTTCATTAGCATACAATAAATTTATTCCTTCTTTTTCCATCTGGCAAGTTTTCACTCTTGGCCATCATTTTTTCTATCCGATCTGAGTTATGAAACGTGTGAATTATCTTTTCTCTCACCTCCCCATTTGTACACGCAAATGCATGTGCCATTCAACTAGTTCAATTAATGCAGTAATTAGATTGTCTCTTGCGCATAATGGGGTAGGTCAGTTGGACAAATAATTGCAAAATAAAAAAAAAAAAAACTAGATGCAGCACAATGCAAGAATATAGTGGTGAATGATGGTTAGAACGGCCCAAAAATGGAGTCATTCTGGCCAATGGTTTTTGGGCTAATGGTTTAATCATCTGATTCGAATGATGATTCGTTCTGATAATAAAATTAAAAATAAAAAATGAGTAAACTGTTAAATAGGTTGGTGGGTTAATGGTTTAATCATTTAGATCAAATTTAAAATAAAACAAAACTAATTGACTGAACAATTTATAGGCCGAATCAACGGCAATTCGAAAACCATGAATCCAAACATGTTATCCATTCAACACCGCCCATCGATGTAGGAATGATTTAATAATTACTAATGCCATGTGCATAATTTGGTTTTAATCGTTTTTTTTCTTTTTTGGTTTTTGAAGCCTAAAAGGCAGTTCATTATACTGACGTCGTTGTCTTGGATATGGTGCCACGACAAGTCCTATTAATTGATTATATATTTTTTCAAAAAAAATATTTTCTCAGAAAAGGGGAAATATGTGGTTTGAGAAAATGTCAGTTTTTTTTTACTGTTGAGTACAATAATATATTGATGTGGAATTGAAAAAAATGCCTATGTGGCGATAACCAACAATGATCCAAAATAAAAAAAAAAAGAAAAATGTTTTATGAGAACACGATATGCCAATGCATCACTATTTTCTTAAGAAATGCCCTTAAATGGCAATGATTTCAAACAAGGCCCATATCTTATACAAGAATAGGATATAGGAAAGAAGGCAAAATATCAAAACTATTGGAATTAATGGGAAAATATACTCACCTTCCTTATCATAACATGAGCCACCTCGTTACCTTTCCAATAAATGAAATATGGAAAATCAAAGGGATTTATCAGTTATTACTCAAAACTAAAGCACGATGTGCAAATAACTATAAATGTGATAGATATTGATCCCATAGCTAGAGAAAGATGGAAGAAGTGCTCCCCTTAATCCCCAATGACAAATTCAACGTGTCAAGTCTTCATTAATGTCGTTACCTAAGAGGAGGGTCTTGGGTAGTGTGAATCGGGACCATTTTGGGTCATGTCCACGATAGAATGTAGGGTTCTATTTTGTATGGACGGTCCGGTCCCCATTCACAAAATAACGTGGATAGGGATAACGTATACCTCAATTTATCTATCATCCATTGTACTTTATCGTGGATGGGCCACATTATGAGGTAGACAATTTGTGGGAAAGATTTGGTGTAATGTACTTGTGATATATTGGATCAGTTACGCTCATTTTATTTAATCTTTTAATATATTTCAATTTATGTTGAAATTATTTTTTAAATTATTTATTACTAAAGATGATATTATAATGACAAATGTATTTATTTTATATTTATTAGTAATTATGTATTGGTGTTTTATTTTATCCATTATTATTTTTATATTATCACTCCAATTTATTTTTGGCTTTAAACTATGGTTCTTTTTCATTCATGATCAATTGTGTAAATTATCCCACAAATTGTTCACACTACACCTATAAACCTGGCAAAAAGTTGATCCAACCCGCGAACCCGACCCAACCCAACCCAACCCGAAAAAATAGGGTTAGGGTTTCATATTTAGCAACCCGATTTGTGAAAATGACCCGACCCAACCCAACCCGAAAAACTGGGTTGGGTCATGGGTCAACCCGCTGACCCGATTGTCAAGTCTAATTGGGATTATTTATGCATTGTTAGAAGTTTCCACTCTTTAATTTTTT